GAGCATTTGTACCCAGAAGGCAGCAAAGGCCAAGCTGTTCCTCACGAGCTTGCAGTGCCTCCATTTCCATGTCTGACGTCTCCCCAGTAGCTGCGGCTGAACGAGGGGAGCTGCCCGGTCTCGTGTCTCTCTCTGACGAGGCTGGTAACGAAGAGGAGGCTTTCCCTCAAACGCCGCCGGGTTTGCTGGGAGCTCAGCAAACGTTTCTGAAGGTGGAGGTGAAACGACCGACGAGAAAGGGGGAGTCACCGGGTGCCTGGATGGGTTTCAAAGGGACGGGTCGGTAACAACCATCGCGCTTCCCCTCACCTGCACAACAGTGGGTTTTGAAAACGTGGATCTTTTCCGATAGTAAAAGATGACAAAAAATATTTACAATAAGGTGACATTTTTATTATTTATACAATAAAGAGACTTTTTAATGTTATTCAAAACACCTTTTTAAATACTGAAAAAGTTGGGTACACCAAAGCCGAAAAATGGCTCTGCTATACACTGCACAGCATTGGTTTAGTCCCTGTATTTGTTTTATGTACAGAAGCATCTGCAAAATGCGTTCTAAACACAATATGCACCTTACGGGTAAGTGTCATACAGGAAATAAAACTGGAAGGATACAACCTGCGTGTGCAAATTAATTAACTAACAATATAAGTGATTGCACTGAATCGATAGATTTAAAATAGAATTTTAAGTACCTTTTTGCACATAAAATGAAGCGGCTTTCAAGTTCAGTAAGTATACTGCAAAAAAACATTAAGTACATTCACGATCTATGTTAATAAAGTAGTAAATATTTCTTCATTCAGCTTTATTTACATTAATACTGTAATGAAACTGAAAAGTACAGTTAGTCATTTTAATATAGCAATCTTTTAACACATACAAAAATGACCATTTTCTGTATATAATTTAAGCTCAAAATCACAATTATCTCAAAATATTAATTACAATACAGCCATCTCCATCATAATTAAACATGTCTTTTATAAAATGGTAAAATTTTTAACAAAGTAAGTAAGTAAGCTGTTGGTTCTGAACGGGATACAGTACTCACAAGTAGAAAAACGGAACCGATGAGAGCGTTTGTTCTGCCCGGGGGTCGGGGGCAAAGCCACAGGTGCCAGCAAAGAGACAGAGAAGGCCCCAGGTGACGGAGATGAAGCCTCTTGTGCTGCAGGGCGGTGGCCGGGTTGGCGGTGCCGCGGAAAACGCCTTACAAGGGCCGTGGAAATCCGTGTGCAATGCAATGATGCCATTTGCTTCCAGAATATTTGCTGGAATTGTCCAGGAAGAGGATTGGCAAGAAGCTGCGCTTGCTTTTT